GCAAATCTTTGTTACAGAGAGCATGAGAGATCTGTGACAGCAAGCACCTGGCCGCGGAGCTTCAGCACGTCAAGCAGGTTCTGCACAACATCAAACTTTGGGTCCTGCGTCTATGTCACAGTGACTGAGTGAAGCCAAACTCAGTTGAGCGTGTGCCTACTGTACTACCATATGTCAAGGGTGTCACAGACAAGATTGGCTACATCTTGAAGCGAGCTTCTATTAGAACATTCTAAAAGCCGCCGAAGAATATTAGTCAGTTCTCAAAATCCATCAAGTGTCATATTCCTCTACAAGATGCAGGAGTGTACAAACTTAATGGTGAATGATGTCTCTCATATATAGGGCAAACAAAAATATCAATTATAACTCGCCTAAAAGAACATATAGCTGAAGTTAAGCATCAAAGTTCCAGGAAGTCTCCAGTTTGTGATCATATCCTAGACGGCCCCAACCAGACATACACAGTCTTTTTAAAAAGTATCGCGAATTTTGTATTTTTTCAAAAAGTATTTATTTATTCATAAATATCTATTTTGTCTCCTTCAAAGTAATCCCCCTCGGATATAATGCACATGTGCCAACGTTTTTTCCAATCCTCGAAGCACTGAAAAAAATCATTTTTCGTGATCTTCTTCAGCTCCTCCTTCGATGCCGTCTTTATCTCCTCAATCGGGGTGAAGCATAACTTGCAGGTAATACTCCTTATTGGCCGTACTACCCTATGGCAAGAACTCATGAGGCACCACGCAATTGAAGAAAACTGTGAGCAAAACCTTCACGTTCGACCGAACTTGGCGCGCTTTTTTCGGTCTTGGCTCATGTGGCAGCTTCCATTGGGATGATTGAGCTTTGATTTCCACGTCATAACCATAAACCCATGATTCTTTACCTGTTATGACCCTCTGGAGCACATTTGGGTCGTCACGGACCGAGTGTAACATCTCCTGAGAAATGTTAACGCGATGCTGTTTTTGGTCGAAATTGAGCAATTTTGGCACGAATTTCGCGGCGACCCGACTCATGCCCAAATCATTACTTACAATCGAATGGCACGAGCCAATCGATATGTTTAGGTCCTCAACAACTTCTCTAACGGTGATTCGACGATTGACCAATAATATTTTCTTCACTTTATCAATGTTATCGTCTGTTGTTGACATGCGCGGGCATCCGGCACGCTGTTCTCATCTCTTTATATAGTTCTCATCTCGTTCACCCTCTGAGAACATTTTGTACCACCGATAAACGTTGCTTTGGTCCAAGGTGGCTTCACCATATGCCACAGTCAACATTCGGTATGCGCCCGCGCACTTTATTTTCTTTTTCACACAAAATTTAATACTGATTCTTGGATCCATTTTTTGGAATAAGCAAAAATCAAAGACGAGCCAAAACATATCCAAGTAAAACAGCTGTCAAAAATTAACTAAACATTCAAACTTGCCGACCTTGTCAGCATAAGTAAGGGACATGAGTACCAACGTAAGGCTATAAAAAATCAAAAATCAAATGTACGTAGCCCGCGGAAATTCAAAATTCGCGATACTTTTTGAACAGACCTCGTACATCAGATTTGATAGACAACAAATCCTCGCGAAAGAATCTTAATTCCTACCAAGGATGATATGAGAGGCTATTGAAATTAAAAAACATCCTAATTTCAATAGAGAAGGAGGCTGGGTACTACCACCTGCTAGGGACACTATAATTAATAAAATTAAAACTAAACCCAAGCATACCACTGCAAGACTTAAAGACAGAGTAAGTTCAATCTGCGTAGATGGACCATAAAAATAATAAAAAACTGAAGGTACTCCATGTTAATACTGACATTGGGACGGCAGCCACTTCAGTCCCACGTGACCATGGGTGCTATAAAGCACCCGAAACGTCGGGAATTAAAAGTTAAAGAAATTGAAAGCAATAAAATTAGTAAAAGTAGTCGTTAAAAAACTGTATTTGTGAAAATAAAAACTTTTATAACATAAAAATCCCGACTTTTAAACCAATTCCCTAACAATTTCATTATTTTTATTGCATATTATCATTTTCATATGCTTTTATATGTGGGCACCCATGGCCGAAGTGTCTATGAACAGTGGGCATTCCCCTTTAGTCCATGAGCTTAGTTGAGTAGAGACTTATTTGAATATATACTTACCATTCATTTTATAGGTTATTTTGTAACGAAAAATTTGGTTGACACTTGATTCACAAGGCGACAGAATTACGTAAAATAAATGCTAGATAGAGCCTATTGAATAAAAATCGGTAAGTCACGAAATAGTGAATTTTAATAAAGAAGGATGCAAAGTTGTTATACAGCAAGTTCTAAACGAAGTTGTGAATGTTTTCGAAGCATTGTGCGAACAACAAACATCTGTCTAACTGTACAACATCACACTCATTGTAAAGGTCGACAGTAGGGTACATCCTAGGTTTGTCCATCATGACTGTAGTGTGTGTGTAGTGTATGCTCATGTAGCTATATATATGATAGCCTAATAAACATTCAGTCAGTAATAAACCTACATTCAAGACCAATAGACGCATTATTTATTCCCCGAACCTCCCGACATTACATGGCGACCCTGCCAGTCGGTGCGCGCGCGACTCCGCTCGCCGCGTGCACCGGCTGGTCACCGATAGTAAAATTATAATATATTTATTAAGAAATTGTTAATTAAAACTTATGACACATTCCCGGATTGAGGAAATTAATTGAAGTCGTGTAGAGCCAGCCATCAAAAAGTTATATCATTTTGAATAAATATTTATAAAATAAAATTAAAACATTATAAGTATAAAATCAAAAGGCAAAGAGGCATCAAAAAGGATAAAAGAAGATGATAGAAATAACTTTTTCACTCCGGATAAGAAAAATATTGGTTGAGATCTAAATTGAAATACACAATGGTGTTCACATAGGAAATTTTACATTATCAAGATATACGAGGTGTGTTCAAAAAGTAAGGTGACTTTTTGAATTTCGCGGGCAACGCACATTCGATTTTCGATTTTTGTATTTTGTTGCGTTGGTACACATGTCCAGAGCATATGTTTCAAGTTTGAAGTGTATAGCATGTTTAGTTTATTTTTGACAGTTACAAAGGTCAGACGTACTTTGGTATGCTCGGCGATTTTCTTCTATCAAAAAAAATGGATCAAAGAATTTGCATCAAATTTTGTGTAAAAAATGGAATTACGTGCTCCAAAACACTTGAAATGTTGACAGTGGCATACGGTGAGTCTACTCTTAGTAAAAAAAAAACGTTTATAAGTGGTACAAGCTCTTTCAAGATGGGCGAGAAGATGCCAATGACGAACCTCGCTCTGGACGCCCCAGCACGTCAACAACCGATGAAAACGTTGAAATAGTGAAGAAAATTGTTTTGGAAAATCGTCGGATCACTATCAGAGAAGTTGCGGAGGATGTTGGCATATCGGTTGGCTCTTGCCATGAAATTTTTTCGGATATTTTGGGCATGAAACGTGTGTCAGCGAAATTTGTTCCAAAATTGCTCGATTTCGCTTTTTGCTTGTGAGAGGTTTTTTGACCAAAAACAACACTACAATCATGCCTCAGCCACCATATTCACCGGATTTGGCCCCATGTGACTTTTTCCTGTTTCCAAAACTGAAGAGGCCTATGAAAGGACGAAGATTTGCAACGATTGAAGAGATAAAAACTGCATCGCTGAAAGAGCTGAAGGCTATACCAGAAAGTGATTATCAGAAATGCTTTGACGATTGGAAAAAGCGTTGGCACAAGTGTATTATATCTGAGGGGGATTACTTTGAAGGGGACAACATAAATATTGATGAATAAATAAATAGTTTTTCATAAAAATATAAAGTCACCTTACTTTTTGAACACACCTCGTATACACAATTTTCGAAAACTCGTAACAACCAAGCAAAACAAAAAGGAGATATTTATCAAAACATAAAATTATCAAGAATTTAATCGAGTGGCCAGTTTTTAGGAGGGCTGAATTTTTTGTGTATTCTATACACAAGGAAACGGGAAGTATGTTATATTCAAGATACATAAAAAAAAAAATTAATAGAGACTATAATGTGAAAAATATGCTTGATGTTTTATTTTTTTTTTAGATTATTATATTTTTAAAGTGAGTGATTTTAAATATGTATCTCTTTTAAAATTCTAATTTCATAAAATTAAAAAGTCACCATTCATATTTAGAAATGTTTTTTACCAATTTTGTTTACTCATTTTGTTCATTTAATAGACGGAACACTCTCAATAGAAAGCAAGTGCTACTTGTATATTCATATCCTTATTATTATGGCGTGATTATTTTAATTATCTATTTTGTTCTAAAATATTTAACATAATGAATGAGAAAAAAAAATAGGAACTTCATTATATTGCTATCAGATAAACGACAACTCAATGAATAAATTTTGTAAAAAATAAATTGATCGATGAATAATATTAATTTAAAACGCAGCTTAACTTAATAACTCAAAAGAATATTAACTGATATATTTTTATATATTTTGTTCTTCGCGCAATGCTTCGAAAACATTCACAACTTCCTTTAGAACTTGCTGTAGCGTACTTTCGCACGTCAGTATAATTTGATTAGCTCTCGCTCATACAATAAGATTAATAAATCAAGAAATATATATATATACAAAATCTACAAATATGAATTAAAATCAAAAATATAAACTTGATTAAAATCTCTAATTTTGGAAGATACGAAAAAAATCGTCACAAAATGGGTACTACACATATTCAGTGTGCTCGTTCCATACATATATTATTATAAAGGTATCCACGTAAAATAGTTTAGATGTCAGAAGCTTAATAATAATTCGTAGAAGTATATACATACTTGTAAACTTAGTTTTGCTTTATCATGTGAACTATAAAATATTATTATTAGTGCAGGGACATACATTCTTAAGAGCTATTTACTATTTAATATTACTACTAAAGTATTATTATTATTGGTGTAGGAACATACCTTCTTCAGATGGGTGTTGACCATAGAGCGGAGGTGGAAGAGCGCAGGGCACAGCGGGCAGCGGCGCGCGGGTGCCGTGTGCGCGCACACCGCGTGCTGGTTGCGCCGGTTCAGCGACACGAACGCACGCCCGCACACCTGCACGAATCGACACACATACAGATATACATATACTATGGAACAGCGGGCAACGGCGCGCACACCGCGTGCTGGTTGCGCCGGTTCAGCGACACGAACGCGCGCCAACACACCTGCACGCATCGACACACACACACACACACACACACACACTAAACTATGGCACAGCGGGCAGCGGCGCGCACACCGCGTGCTGGTTGCGCCGGTTCAGCGACACGAACGCGCGCCAACACACCTGCATGCATCGACACACACACACACATAAACTATGGCACAGCGGGCAGCGGCGCGCACACCACGTGCTGGTTGCGCCGGTTCAGCGACACGAACGCGCGCCCGCACACCTGCACGCATCAACACACACACACACATATATACTATGGCACAGCGGGCAGTGGCGCGCACACCGCGTGCTGGTTGCGCCGGTTCAGCGACACGAACGCGCGCCCGCTCACCTGCACGCAGCGACACACACACACACACACACACACACACACACACACAGCACATATATACTATGGCACAGCGGGCTGCGGCGCGCACACCACGTGCTGTTTGTGCCGGTTCAGCGACACGAACGCGCGCCCGCACACCTGCACGCATCGACACACACACACACACACACACACACACACACACACACACACACACACACACACACACACACACATATACTATGGCACAGCGAGCAGCGGCGCGCACACCACGTGCTAGTTGCGCCGGTTCAGCGACACGAACGCGCGCCCGCACACCTGCACGCATCGACACACACATAGATACATATACTATGGAACAGCGGGTAGCGGCGCGCACACCGCGTGCTGGTTGCGCCTGTTCAGCGACACGAACGCGGGTCCGCACACCTGCACGCATCGACACACACATTATAATATGGCACAGCGGGCAGTGGCGCGCACACCACGTGCTGGTTGCGCCGGTTCAGCGACACGAACGCGGGTCCGCACACCTGCACGCATCGACACACACACATACACACACACACACACACACACACACACACACACACACACACACACACACACACACACACACATATATATATATATATACTATGGCACAGCGGGGAGTGGCGCACACACCGCGTGCTGGTTGCGCCGGTTCAGCGTCACGAACGCGCGCCAACACACCTGCACGCATCAACACACACACACACACACACACACACACACACACACACACACACACACACACACACATACTATGGCACAGCGGGGAGTGGCGCGCACACCGCGTGCTGGTTGCGCCGGTTCAGCGACACGAACGCGGGTCCGCACACCTGCACGCATCGACACACACACATATATAATATGGCACAGCGGGCAGTGGCGCGCACACCGCGTGCTGGTTGCGCCGGTTCAACGACACGAACGCTGGCCCGCACACCTGCACGCATCGACACACACACATATATACTATGGCACAGCGGGCAGTGGCGCGCACACCGCGTGCTGGTTGCACCGGTTCAGCGACACGAACGCGCGACCGCACACCTGTACGCATCGACACACACACATATATACTATGGCACAGCGGGCAGTGGCGCGCACACCGCGTGCTGGTTGCACCGGTTCAGCGACACGAACGCGCACCCGCACACCTGCACGCATCAACACACACACACACATATATGACTATGGCACAGCGGGCAGTGGCGCGCACACCGCGTGCTGGTTGCGCCGGTTCAGCGACACGAACGCGCGCCCGCACACCTGCACGCATCGACACACACACACACACACACACACACACACACACACACACACACACACACATATACTATGGCACAGCGGGCTGCGGCGCGCACACCACGTGCTGTTTGTGCCGGTTCAGCGACACGAACGCGCGCCCGCACACCTGCACGCATCCACACACACACACACACACACACACACACACACACACACACACACACACACACATATACTATGGCACAGCGGGCAGCGGCGCGCACACCACGTGCTAGTTGCGCCGGTTCAGCGACACGAACGCGCGCCCGCACACCTGCACGCATCGACACACACATAGATACATATACTATGGAACAGCGGGTAGCGGCGCGCACACCGCGTGCTGGTTGCGCCTGTTCAGCGACACGAACGCGGGTCCGCACACCTGCACGCATCGACACACACACATTATAATATGGCACAGCGGGCAGTGGCGCGCACACCGCGTGCTGGTTGCGCCGGTTCAGCGACACGAACGCGGGTCCGCACACCTGCACGCATCGACACACACACATACACACACACACACACACACACACACACACACACACACACACACACACACACACACACACACACACACACACACATATATATATATATACTATGGCACAGCGGGGAGTGGCGCACACACCGCGTGCTGGTTGCGCCGGTTCAGCGTCACGAACGCGCGCCAACACACCTGCACGCATCAACACACACACACACACACACACACACACACACATACTATGGCACAGCGGGGAGTGGCGCGCACACCGCGTGCTGGTTGCGCCGGTTCAGCGACACGAACGCGCGCCCGCACACCTGCACGCATCGACACACACACATATATAATATGGCACAGCGGGCAGTGGCGCGCACACCGCGTGCTGGTTGCGCCGGTTCAACGACACGAACGCGGGTCCGCACACCTGCACGCATCGACACACACACATATATATGTACTATGGCACAGCGGGCAGTGGCGCACACACCGCGTGCTGGTTGCACCGGTTCAGCGACACGAACGCGCGTCCGCACACCTGCACGCATCGACACACACACACTATATACTATGGCACAGCGGGCAGTGGCGCGCACACCGCGTGCTGGTTGCACCGGTTCAGCGACACGAACGCGCACCCGCACACCTGCACGCATCAACACACACACACACATATGTACTATGGCACAGCGGGCAGCGGCGCGCACACCACGTGCTGGTTGCGCCGGTTCAGCGACACGAACATGCGCCCGCACACCTGCACGCATCGACACACACACATATACACACACACACACACACACACACATATACTATGGCACAGCGGGCAGCGGCGCGCACACCACGTGCTGGTTGCGCCGGTTCAGCGACACGAACGCGCGCTCGCACACCTGCACGCATCGACACACACACAAATACACACACACACGTTTGAACACACACACACACACACACACACACACACACACACACACACACACACACACACACACACATACTATGGCACAGCGGGCAGTGGCGCACACACCGCGTGCTGGTTGCACCGGTTCAGCGACACGAACAGCACATTACATCAGATTTGATAGAGCACAAATCCTCGCAAAAGAACATCGATTCCTACCAAGGATGGTATACAAGAGATTCGAATCAAGATTAGATGTAGATGTCTGTGGGCTACAGCATCCACTTACTATCAGGTGGACTAGTTGCTCGTTTGTCCCCTTTATTCTATAAAAAAATAGCTTACTCCAGTCACTGTTATAGCCTCTTCTATAATTTGCCTCATAGGGGAGATATTTACCATAGTTGCACCTCTCGATAAGCGTTCTCTTAAGTGGTTATTAGGAAGATGCTGCTGCCCATTTCCTGGTTCAATTTCTATCTGTCGCCTTAACTAGCATTTTACTAATGTCTAACCAAGTGATCAGTCCTGTTCCGTATCTAATGCCAGCCTTTTATATCCAACCAACAGCCAATATCAGTTCTCATCACACTAGCAATGAGTATTATGAAATAATCACTTTTATACCAGTCAATCGAAATACTTAATACGTAATTCAATTCCTCCCTCTCCCTTTCACCATCAGACAACCAGACTCTCAGACAACCTCTACTACTTCGCTACTCTCACTTTACGAAACACAGCAGTATTTAGCTGCTTTTTTACAGTGTTAATAATATAATAGACTTATTTATAACAATAAATACACGGGTGATTTCTGAATATGAACGACAGCGCCACCTACCAGGTCCAAATGTAAATCCAAACTATCTAAGGACACATTCAAACAAACACAAAATTCCAAATAGATCGAGCCGTTTTTGAGTTTTCGCGATAATAAGGGACAACAATTGATTTTTATATATCGAATAGAAGATAAAGAAGAACACTCGACCACACTATCGCCATCTATCTGATCTAGATTTTGGGATTTTCTTTTTATGCTCTAATCCAACATACTCGTATATATTGCGAATATAAGCAATTTTGGTCTGTTAATGTGGAATTTAAGAGCCGTGGCAGCTCAGATGGTTAGTGCTCGCTGTAAATTTCACAGTACGCGATCAAACCGGGTTCGATCCCCGCCGGCACCAATGAAATTGTTAATTGCAATTTTATGTGCTGATTTACCACGTTGCTCGGCAGAGAAGGAAAACATCGTGAGGAAACCTGCATGTATGAGAAATAAAAAAATATTTCGAAGATACGTGAAGTTCGCCAACACGCATTAGGGCAGCGCGGCGGAAACTTTGTTGCCCTAAAACCCCTCTCAGAAACGACAGAAAGCAGTGGGACGTATATAGGCTGTAACTTTAATGTAGAATTTGTTAATAACTTAACTACGGTATAATATATCAAATCCTAGCATAGCTATGAACCATCGTCTCGACAAAAGAATTATATTGGGTGCGTTTGGCAGAAAAAAGCGCTAGCAAGCGCTTACAAGCGCTAAAATAGTTTTCGGCCAGGACACGATTGCTACTTCAGTAGCGCTGACACAATCCGCCATTTTGTTTATTTAATTTGTTTGTTTTGAAGTAGAGTTTATAAGTTGTTTTGTGCAATATTAGTTTTAAGTAATATAATGACATGAATAAACATATACATGTTACTAAAAATTCATGATTAGTAAGTTTTTAATATGAATACTTTACAAACATATATTTAAATTAGGTTAGGTTCCCCAGTTAAAACTAACATCGTGTCCTAGAGGAAAATAGCTACTTACGATTTGACAGCGCTTACCGCTTACGATCGCCATTTTGCTTACAAGCGCTGGCTAGCGCTTTTTTCTGCCAAACGCACCCATTGTGTGAATAATAATATGACATCAATCAGTCAAGTCAAAAGTTACACAATCACTACAGACACACCAATGCTATATATATATATATATATATATATATATATATATATATATATATATATATATATATATATAAAGATTGCTAGGAATAAGATCTCACATCACAAACATAAGGTCTCTCGTTGGTATGCAATCGCTGATGCCACATTAGTGACCTCTCATTAACAAAATTGCGTTCGCAAGTCCCGCAAGAAAACTTCTTGTTTTTCTGTCCAATTTCTTCCCTTTTTTCTGCCTCTTTGTTGACTTTAATTTTCTCTGTTTCTTGTCTGGAAACACAAAAGGGCAATGATGCATTTTAAACACAGATTATGACCTTTTTGATGCAAGGTGACGAACAAGCATACAGTCACCGGATGGTAAGTTAATATTGTGAACTTTGGTTATTTTGGAACTCATGTCTTTGGACCTACAAAACACAATATCATTATGCTTGTTTTAAGTTGATATTCTGTGAGGACCAGTCGAGGTAACAACTTGTTTTGCAATCCAACAAATGGTTTACCTCTACTGGTAACAAATTCAGCTAAGAACCAGAATACAAATAACACAAAGAACATAATAAAATAATCATAATCATAATAAATATAAAATATTGTTCACTAGTTGGTAGCATTCCCTCTCTGCCTTTTTTTTTTTTTGCGCCCGAGGCTATGGCTCGAAAGCGGGGGAGGGAGGTTGAGAATGTTTAAAGTGCGTGGTTATGTCTTTTCAACCTTTTGGTATGGTGTTTTGGAAAGGAGGGCCAAGGAGCAAGCGAAAGGAGGGACCTCTCTGCCCAGGTGTGTCTTTGTAGGTACCCTCTTACCTTTTACTTCTACTACCTTTTCAAATGAACTGTATATGTGAATAGAAGTTGGCGCTCGGTTGTACAGCTCGGCGAGCTAGATGAGCAACGACAAGCAATGGCAAGGCTAGACAAATGGGCTGTCTAGCGATTGCGGGTACCAATATATAGACATATGTTGGTACCCACAATCGCTCGATGAGCTATGGGCAAAATGTATAGCCGGCTGAAAAAACTAAAATTGACCTATAAATAAAAGTATAAAAGAAAAATAATCACTTTGTATCACGCTTCGTATGCATTTCATGTTTCTTTATGTGAGTTTCGAAACTGATCTCTCCCTTGTACATCCGTCCGCAATAGTAGCATGTGTACTTCTTTACATGTTTCTTATCATTGTGCTCTTTCAAATGTTCCTCATCCCGCAGCACCTGGCCGCAAACTTCACAAACGTGCGCCCCTTCTGCCTGTTTCAAATTTTCCATTTCCTCATGCCATTTCAAGTGTGCTATAATACTGTCTCTCTTTTTGAACACCACATTGCATTTGGCACACATATGTATGTTTGAATGTGTTTTGAGATGCTTATTGAATTCATTTTCACCCTCTATTATGGCTTTACACACCTGCATGCAAAAAAGTTGTAGTTAATATATTATTAAGGGGTAAAAGCCCTTTGTACTAATTAGTTCAGTTCAAATAAAAAAAAAATAACAAGACAAAATTTAAGAAATGGTAAACTTCTATTATTACAATATTCTTCTTCCATGGTCGTAGGCAGACAGAGGAGTTTGACATTCTAATGACAGGCTACCTTCATATTTTATATATTAATTTTTGGTCTAATCAATGCAGAACAAACTTACAGTATATTAAAATTACAGTGGTATGCTTGTGTTGAAATTAAATTTTATTAATTGTGGAATCCCAAGATATGAGTCGCCTAAATATAATAAATATATTGTTGCGCACCTAACGACGTCATGTACCCGGCACTAACGCCATCTGTGTCGGGTAACAAAGCGAGGAGAGCTTTCCAGAAAATGACATCACTAATCTTTCAACCGACAGCGCCATCTAGTATCGGAACGAAGAACTAAGCTTCTAGAAGCCCGACATTCGAAATTTCGGCGCCTAGTCGATTGGCGCGCGTATTTACTTGAATATTCTGGATGTTTCGGTGATAATTTGTATTTAAAGGCGCTGCAAGATGCGATTGAGGAACTATTGAATTTGGCGAGACAAGCGAAGCTCGGAGCGAAATAAAGTGAATCAGTGTGATTAATTATTAGTGTCTTTTAAGTTTTAATTAGTGTAAAGTGAATTAAAGAGTTAATTTTGGTAATTCTATCGGCAATTTTTATTGACACGAACCTCAAGCTCGTAACAATATTAATGAGTATATGTAAGTATGTTTGCTGATGACACGAAGATATTTGCAAACTCACTAGTGAACTTTGATCGCCTTCAAGCAGATCTAATTAAAATATCAGATTGGTCAAAAAAGTGGCTTATTAAATTAAATACATATAAGTAAATGCACAGTCCTCCATATAGGAAACCGAAACCCTCGTTTCATATATAAAATCGATGATATACCTTTGGAAGAAAGTTAAAGTACAAAAAGACTTAGGTGTGCATATAAGTAACAATTTAAAATGGAATCATCATATAACTAAAAAGGCAAATAGTTTTATTTACCTGATTAGAAAAGCCTTCGGGCATCTAACACCAGAAATGATGCTAAAAATACATAAGGCATACATACATTCAACCTATTTTGGAGTATGCATTCCAAATTTGGGCCCCTATTTCAAAAAGGGTATTGAGTTACTGGAGAAAGTTCAACGTAGATTTTCAAAGGTCCCTAGAGTATTGAAAAACATGCCATATGAAGAAAGGTTGAATAAGGTTAAACTAACGACACTGAAGGATCGCAGAGAACGGGGAGACTTGATCAAAGCATATAAAATTATACATGGACACTACGATCTGGAAAATTTTGACAGAGATTTATTCCAGTACTCAACAATAACACATCTTAGGGGACATCACTTCAAATTAACCAAAACCATATCGCATAATAACCCACACAAGCACTTTTTTAGCCAAAGAGTAGTTGAAGCATAGAATAAACTGCCATCAGAAGTAATATTTGCTAAATATCTGCACAAACTATTAATCAATTCAAGAACAGATTAGATAAACATCAAAAATAATAATAAATATACATTTGAAAATAGGATACGGGCGTACATCAGTTGTTTCAACTTCTAGCCTTTGAAGTAATAATAAAAAAATTGTGCGTAAGGGCATATGTCAGCTGGTGATTGTCGGCCTTTATACTGGCATCAGTAATCCATCTACAAGTTACTGGATTGTGAAGGGCATGAGGTGTCCTTTCCAGTAGATGGTATGATGAGTTTCACACTAAATTCACTGCACTTAAAAGTTACAGATATACTTATAGATTATATTATAAACAACTCACTGTGCATCAGATCCTAGCAGTCAGATCACTAACGGACACATCTATCATTACATGTTATAAAAAGATTACACTACTATAAAATAATGGCTGATACCCATTTGCTTCACTAGGATAATATTTTTAATGAAACCTAGATTCTGAAATCTGTTTTAAGCGAGCGTCTACATTGCAAAATGAGTTACTATACTAAATTTCAAGTAAATCGGGTGCATAGTTTTAGAAATTTTGTGATGAGTCAGTCACTCAATGGTATTTTGCTTATATATACATATATATATATATATATATATATATATATATATATATATATATATATAGATTATATTACAATAACATATTATACTAACAACACAAATGAACAGATCTATGTCATGTTCAGCCTTCATATGTTCCTTCAATTTGGCCACAAATCTGTACCTCACTGGGCACTTACTGCACATTATATAGCTCATAGGATTTCTTCTTCTCTTTCTCTTTATTTTGTTGTTCGGAAGAGAGCTCTTTAGAACCTCGCTTAGTTTACTTGTGCTATTCTCATCCAATGGTATTAGGGTACCGTCCAGTGCTTTGTAAAATGTTGGCTCTCCTTTTTCATCAGCAATTATTACTATATCATTGTCATCATTATCTTCAGAGATATTAATATCAACTAACTCTTCTATAGGAGGGCTACTGGTAATTGTCTTTGCATCATTAGCTGTTTGCATACATTCTGCAGCATCATTTTCTGTCAAAACCCCTGTTAAATCATAGTCAAAGATCTGTGTTTCCGGATTAAGCAAAGGCAATGTAATGCACAAGGAGTCTGATGGTATATCATCTGAAGTATTAATAAAACTTAAGTGCTCCTCCAATAAGTTAATGTAAAAATTAAGAATTTCATCACTCCTTTTTGTTAACAAGTAGAATTTGTAAGAAGAGGATGCAGTTGCAAAGCATTCTGAACAAATTTTGTACTGATCACATGGTGAAATCTGAAATTATTATACAGATATTATTTAAAAGATTGCTTTATAGAAAAATCATTGTTGAGATAGAGGGCCAACAGAGGGCTTAATAATTCAATCATTTTACAAAAATGGTAATAACAGAATTAGGGAATGTAAATCTTGCGAGATTGGGGCTCAAGTGAGATCCCGCAAGTTTATGAATAATAATACTGCGAGATCTCGCCAATTTCGAGATCTCGCGAGATTAGCAGTTTTGTGTGTTATCTTTGTAAATAAACACAATATTTGAATAAATTAAGAAAAAATAATAAAAACTTTAAGTATTATAAGATAAACATTTATTTTCACAAATTTTTTCAATAGACTTTTATGCATCAAACATTGTTTAACATATCTGTCAATAATTTTTGAATAAATTAACAAAATATAGCAATAAAATGAAAGATTTGTTCAGTTCAAATTGCAAGCCATTATTACGAATTATTTTGAAAGTAGCTCCAAAATGTTCAAAGAATCGTCTGCTAAATGGCTTCTTATTTTGTTGGCCAGATAACTGACAGATTGGAACTCCATCCTTGTCAGCCTGCACTTCAAATAAGACGTTTTATGCTATATATCTATATATCCATGCCCTTTTTTCATCCGAGATCAATCTCGCTAAAAAAGGCAGAGATCTCGTGAGAACGAGATTGCAATCCCTAAGCAGAATCCATTTATTTTAAAATTTCAATCAAAATAAGCAGAAATTATTACTTTTGAGTCCCTCCTAATATTATTATAAATGTATATTTATCAAATTTACATTTTAACTTAATAGCATTTTATCTTAATATCTATAATATTATATTATATTATTTACAATATGTCTCTCGATGATAATATTGTTGCTGTTTTGGTTTCTCATCATTGTAATATTTATTAGTGTCTAGCCATCTGCCAATCGGACCACTAATTTAATTTATTTGTCCACCAATCAGATGAATTTTTGGAAATGTCTATTATACAACAATCTGACTATTAATTTTTTCTTAGTTATATGATCATTCATGAGACATATTTTAAATAAATGGAAATAAATGAGATAGTAAGATATTAAACTAAATATACTCTGATACTCATATCATTAGGCTATTTGCGTGTAGTAAAACATTGCACCAATCTTGCAATATCAGTTACACTAGTCTTAAATTATATTGATATAATCATTAACCATTAATAATTTAAAATATAATATTGAAAGAATTGAAGATTTTAATTTTAATGGTCATTGAACAAATAAGTATTTTTTATCTATGAGTTAATACACTACAAGGTTCAGTATTAACTGAGTTCAGTACGAACTGGATATGATACTATTTTGATCCCAACTACGAACTATTTTGTCCTTAAGCAGATGAATAAAATAATTTAGTTGTCCGATTGGCAGATAACTAGCATTGTCCAATATTTATCACAGAATATTTGATGTTGAGTCATTCAATCATTCAACTTCAGCTCTACATGGTACTTGTCTATCCTACCCCGAACGTTTTTAAAGAGGTGGAAGTTCATCATATGTTGTATGTGTTATTGAGTAGGTAATAAAAATAATAAACCAAATGGATGCAATACACGATCCAGTTTACCGTCAAGTTTGCAGCGCTCTTGTATTAGCATCCCGTTTGCTGTGCAATCCATATAGAACATTCATATTCAATTTCGCCGTCAAGTTTGCATGATGCCGCACCGGTTGAAACCATGGCGTCTCTCGCTTGTAGCTCCGACGAACGTCATGCATACGCTCATAAACACGTTCAACTTTACAGCTTGATCAATTCGCCAGAAACGAAATTCAATTTTTACTTCAAATATACTTGTCATGCACACTGACAGCCATACACCGTCAAGTTTATCATATGGTCGGTTACCGCTTCAAGCGCACTGCAAACTTGACGGTGAACTGGATCGTGAATGGCATCTAGGATAAGAGAATAATAGATAAGCACTGACCTTAATATTACAAACCTCATCCAATACATCGGCAATAGAGTATTCCTTGTCATTTTTACAAACCGTTGTGAATATATCCTCGCTTGAAGTGTTGAAAGGTAGTAAACATATTCGGCACAAGTTCTCGCTAAATGTTCCATTTACTAAGTGCTTTACAACTTCCTTCATATCTGCATATTTAGCCATTTTTAATGCAAGTTCCTCCGCCGCTGTAATACATTTTGTTGGCTATATAGTAAGGCAAACAAATACAATGAAAAGTTCCAATGGCGAAGAGCATTATTTTTCTCAAAGAAGATATTTAGCGATATCTATTCAACCAAAACAAAACAAATTTATGAAAGTACCTCCACTTTTTTAGAGATGCGTTCGAAGTTCGAACGTCGACAATTTCGAAATATTTGGAAGCGATCAGGTTCAATCGACATTCAACATGGCTTCTTTCCAGGTATATATAATGTACTCTGTGCTTCTTTTTCAGTAGGTACCAACTTTTTTTACCTATATCTTGACAAAAATCTTGACTTTTTGGCTAAGCAAAAGCGAAAACACACAGCATGTAATAACTATTATTTATTCTGTGATATAACACAATAATATATTTTTCGGCAAGAATCGTTGTAGAAAATAGTGTCCCAGAAATATGGACACCATAAGTGAGGCGCTGCGATAGCTAAGTTCAGTCAATATAAGCCATTTTCAGTCTATTTTTCCGATCAGATGCACATCCACGCACAATAAAATATTTATCCATTTTTTAATGTTTCTTTTTATCAAAAATTACAAAATTATGGAACATGAAAATTTTCTCACCAATGCCGTGGAGAAAATTTATACTAGACGTGGGCGTTATTTCACGTCACTAGATACAGTAACTGGCTACGCGGTATGTAACCGAATCACTAGTTTCGAGTCATGTTACAAGTGGTGATTTTTGTACATGCGTGATTATGATTACTGTTAACCATGATTATTGCGGGAGTCGACTGTCGGTCGGTCGAGCGGAAAGCGCACATATGGCATACAACAATAAACAAAACATCGTAAGTAACAGTATTATTGTACATTTAATTTTCATACGTATGACTATAGACATAGACAATACAATAGAGTAATCTCTGTTTGTAAATAATTTCAACGGTTTGCGATTCCGGGAAGCGAGTCACATTGAAATTAACTAAAATAATTTTTAAAAATTTTTTGACGGAGTCATGAATTCGTTTATTCATAAAATTAAAATAAAACTAAAAATAAATATATTAGTTTATAATATTATAACAATTAAAAACCGTGTGTAAATAGCCAAACGAACAAACAAATTAATTGTACAGTGTAAATAAAAGTGCAAAAACAAATGATAATGAAAACGTTGAAAAAGTGTAAATAAACTGTAAATATCAATAATCATGGTATATACAATCAAATTGACTTGTAAATATGCCTGCATTAATAATTTTATGAAAATCTTAGTGTCATAGTAAACGCAAATCAATCATAAATACATTTAATGCAGTCAGTCCTAAACCTGAATAAAGTGTTAAGGGAATTATATTATTCATTTAACAGTATACAGTTACTTTATAGCTACAAACACAGATTGTGATTAAATTAACTGTATTGTTGGTGGTGATATTTATGCAAACAATCACAATAGCCGAATAAAAATAGCCAGTTACAAAAATCACTAGTTTTGAAACAGGTGACGCCGAACAAGTCACTGGTTTCGTTACGTTTCTTGAAAATGACGTAACGACCCACGTCTAATTTGTACATTATTCAACTAACTTCATCTACTTGTACTCATAAACAGCTAACTTCGCAGTCACTACTAACCGACGTCAGCACCGCTATAAATTCTACAATTTTCAGGGACAGGCGGCAGTATTATGCTTTAGTACGTAGTGATCTTTCTCCTGTTCTCTAACCTCAATGAGCAAAACTCAATAGTTAGTAAGGCCAGCTACATACATAAGGAATTCCGTTTCGGTATTCCGATTCGGGATTCCGAATGCAGCAAGCCCTCATGAAATCAATGACCCGTCACACACCTACGGTAGCTTTACGTACGGTATTTTGCGGCCAAAACGTGATTTCGTATGTGTGTGAACGATCCGTTCGTTCCACTGCGGAATCCGTATGTAGCGGGCCTAACTGTCTTAAAGTAAAATCTTATGGAGTGTAGAGGTAAGGAGTACCAACTCCCATAGGAGATTATAATAGTTGAAAAAGTGTCCATCTGTAAGCAATAAATAACAGATCAGAAACTCTCCACAACAGCGCTGGATTAGCTAGAGTGTATAAAATGAACTTAGAAGTTGTCGACGGAGTGAAATGTGCTGAGTTGAGGAATTTAATATTTGTGGTGACTTGATGAAACTAACTACTTTAGTTGATGAAACTGCAGTATTGAAAACCACAACTACTCACGTTGTCTAAAACCCGTTGAGAGTGATTTTGAAAATAAAAATTTTGAAAACAATAAAGTAATTATTATAAAAAGAATTATGGTGAAAGTCTGTGTAATAAAAAATTATAAAAAGTTCTTTAAAATTTACACTCTAGCTACAGTGGCGCCATCCTTATTTAGCACTTTCCTAAGGACTTTTTTATACAGAGTTTGTTCTCCTTACCTCCTATGAAAACAATGAAAACTATGACTAAGGATGCTAATAGACGCACATAGTGTGCAAGTGAGAAGAAATTTCCTTATGGCATAATAGCTTTATAGGCTGAAGAGCCATGCTGCAGTTATATTAGTAGTATAGTTGTAGCACGAATGGGTCGGCTCGACCAGGGAAGGACCACGCTCTCACAGAGTACCAGCGTAAAATAGTAACTTAATGCTGCTGTGTTTATGGTGAGTGTAAAGAACCGGCGACCCTTTTTACTGGAAACGAGGCATTTCATCTTGGTCCTCATGAGTGACAATGCGTCTGCATTTTTATTCATAATCGAGGATAGATGTAGATGTCTATGGGCCACAGCAACCGCTTACCATCAGGTGGAATGTGTACTCGTTTGTCACCCTATCCAAAAAAAAAAAATGGAAAAGGATAGCAAATCTCATGTTTTTTAAACAATTTTGAATGACGGGTCGGCACAAGTCGGCACGCAAGAAATAAGCTCCTAGGTATTTTGTAATTTTTTAGATTACTATATTGTTAATTTTTATAATTCATTGTTTTTTCAAAATAGTTACATGTTCCGTAAGTGACTGTGATGTTAATAATAGAAATAATCCTGATAATTGCACATTTCGCGGGTAAATTCTCAAGACGTCGTCAATAATAAGACGCGTCTATTTTTGCTTAAAATTTATTTTATATACTGTTTAAAAAATGTTATCCATTATTTTGTGAACATTGATATTTTGCAAAGAAAAAAGTCACGATGTTGTTAATTTGCGTGAATTTGGTAAATACATTTTTATACAAAATATTTTACATGTACGCTAGGGATTGACTCAACTATACCAAAATGTCGATATTTATCTTGAATGTTTATAATGAATTGATAGACTTATTATTATAATTTATATTTATTCCAACACAACGGAATGAAAATAAATGCTCGGTAAACTTTCTAAAATGTACTTTTTTTTTGCGGTTTGTCAGACAGATTCCCTCCCGATTCTATAATTAGAAAAAAAAAAACGGTTAAGTTTATTGGGCGGGTTGGTTGAAATCCAAAAATGAATTCAAAAATTTGCAATAAACATGTTCTTGAGGAGTTTAAAAGAAAAAGTATAATAAAACAATTTCATTAAAAGGAGCCATTTCTACATTATTTATACCAGTAAGTATATTGTTATAATAGGACTCCAAAATTTTAACTTAAAAACTTTTGATAAAAGTAGCAAATTCTCGGGAACATATTATATGAATGTTTTTTAATTATTTTTGAATATTATGTTATAAAGTAAAAGTTAATTAGTTTCGTGCACTATACTAGTTATTTAATCTTTTTACCGCTTTCTTAACAATCCTTTTTTGATAGTTCTTTTAAATAACGAACAAATGACATTCCATCTTGGGATGCGTTAGTGTTCGCTCAGTTTTCGGACACAGTTATCTCTGTTATCTATTCTTAGATTGTTGTTGTTTGTTAATTTTAGTTATCTTGTTTTAATCGTTAAGTTTAATGTAGACAAAACTGTTGAATATTTTGAAATAAATGTGAAAGACGGAACGTCATTGGAAAGTAGTAACTCCGATACAGAGAAATCGGATTATGATTTTTGAATTTTGATTTTACACATTGATTAAAATAAAGAAGGCGGCAGGGTACTATCACCTACTGGGTACTATGTAATTAATAACATTAAAACAAAACCCAAGCATACCGCTGCAAGACTTCAAGACACAGTCAGTTCATTCCACGTATAAAAAAAATAATTAAAAAGCTGAAGGCGCTCCAGGTTATCATTGACATCGGGACGTCAGTCACCTCAGTCCCCCGTGACCATAGGTGTTGGTAGGCACTCGAAACGTCGGAAATTAAAAATCATTGAAAGTTAAACGTGATAAAATCCGTAAAAGTAGTTTTAAACAACTGTTTTTATACTAAAATAAATAAATAATAATAAATACGATAATAAATTTATATTTTTCTCCTTCAAATATTTCATAAAAATTACACTTAACACAAAAATGTTTGTGACCACTGTCAGTAGGCAAAGGGGTCATTGTACGAAATTCATCCTGCTCTACAACTGGACTTAGCAGTAGAGATTGGAGTACCGGTTTTTTATGATCCGGTACACAACACACATCACCACATCACTAACATAAATATAGAAAAAATTTAGCTGTCAAAAATATGTATTGAGAAATTGAGAAGATATTTCTTACCTAGCTATTTTGTAACTTTTGTTGTGGAAAATAAATATAATTATGGCTTGACACGTCCTGAGAATGCTTTGATATATTTTTAGAACCGCTAAGAATTATTGACATAGTCCAATATTCAAAATATTTTATTTGATTACTTAATTAGTTACAATTTAAATGGAATGAGTGTACAAGGTGTTGAATTCGCGTTTTTTGCATTTCATTGGAGATATAAAAACATATAATACTAAGTATTGGATTGTTAGTGCGCGACAATATGTAAATGCACACACAAAATCTAAGTTGACCCGCGCTAATATAATTACCAACATATATAACTTACGGTAAGTCTTATTA